GACCTGGAGCAGTGAGTGATGTGTGCAGGCCCCTCTCCCCATAAGCTAAATTATCCCTTTTGTAAAAGCCTCCAGGTCCTTAGCTGGCAGAGAGGCTGTTATCATGTGGCTCATTTAGCAGAAAAGGAAAGGTGGGTGGAAAACAATGGCTGATGAACTAGACTCAGAGCAGGCAGCCAGCGGCAGCCAGCTCTCCTCTCCCCGCAAAAGTCAAATTCCACATTCACAGTCCCCGTAATTTAGAGGATGGTAGAACCATTTATTTTGCACTTTTTTTTTTTTTTTGCGGTACGCGGGCCTCTCACTGTTGTGGCCTCTCCCGTTGTGGAGCACAGGCTCCGGAGCGCAGGCTCAGCGGCCATGGCTCACGGGCCCAGCCGCTCCGCGGCATGTGGGATCTTCCCGGACCAGGGCACGAACCCGTGTCCCCTGCATCGGCAGGCGGACTCTCAACCACTGCGCCACCAGGGAAGCCCTATTTTGCACTTTTTAAAATTAGATTTCGAGATGGCAAAGAATACATAGACATATCGTCGTGTTTTCATTTTATACATAGAGCAAAAATCAGGGACAAAACTTGGAGTCTTGCTGTTAACTTGCTTGATCCAGTTTGGGTGAAAATGTACCAAAATGTGGCAGTTTTCCATCAAATAGGAATGTGATTGCAGCACAAGAAGTAACCCACGATCTAGTTAAAGCGTAACCCAAGAAGAGCGGTTTGGAGTGAACTTTTCCCATCTCATTGTTCTCGTTTCTTCTTTGCTTTTTCCTGGAAATCCAACCTTTTGACTGTTGCTGCAAAGACCCTATTTAAAAAGCATCTCAGCTGATGTGTAGGGCTAGCTAGTCAAAAGGCAGCCCCAATCACTCTGTAGTCTGATGGGGTTTTTTTGCAGACTTTTATTTTGTGGCTTGGGCTGGAACCCTGACATCACGAGACTCTTGGTAGCTTTGAGTGGGAAGGACCTCGAGGTCATCACCCAGGCTCCACCCAGTGCGGGCTTCCCTTTGGGAACACCCTGGCCATGGTCTTCCAAGGTGCTGGAACACTGCCCAGGACAGGGTGTTCACCCTGCCACAAGGCAGCTCACCCAGTTTTAGACAATTCAAATGGTGGGTAAATCCTTCTGTACGTTGAGCTAGGACCTGTTACCCTATAATTGCCACTGATCCACCCTCTGTTGACCCCTTTTCCCACCTTGAGCAATCTTTAAATATTTGAAGGCAACCTTCATGGGCTGCAAGACTTACTTCTTACTTCAAATGTCCTCTGGTTCTTTTAACTATTCTGCACATGACAATTTTCTCATTTTCACCATCTTGGTCAACCTCCTTTTTTCAGATCTGATGTATTTTTTGAGGCAACATACTAGGTACTTAAGCTAATTAATCTTCTCTACAACCTTGCTTGGTAAATATTATCTGCATTTTCAGAAACAAATCTAAGACTTGATGAGGTACAACCACTTATTGAAGGAGATGGCAGATAGAGGATTCAGAAGTGGGTCTACCTCTTTCTAGCCCACTCCATGCCTCTGATGAAAAAACAAATGTTGGTCAGGTACAGGCAAGGTTGATCTCAGATACATCCTGAGATCTGCAGTAGGTCCTTAGAAACCTCCCATGCAGGTGAGCCTCTTTTTTTTGTTGCTACAAGGTGTGCTTACTGATAGAGATTGATGTTAACTTGAGGAGTTAGGAAATGACCATCAGAAAACACTGCCTGCTGGGAGGCAACTATACACAAGGTGGGTGTGCAGGAAATTTGGAGGCAAAGAGATACACGAGGAACAGGAAGCAAGAAGGAACTCAGAAGGTTTGGAAGGCGTTTCGTTTGGAAGCTGCACACATGATGAAGCAGGAAGAGAAGGCTCAGACAGGCAAAGGGTGAACCCTGGCGAGTGCCTGAAGAGTTTGCTGCAGCCTCGGCCTGGTGGTTGTATCTGGAGAACAAATAGAAAGTATTTGTTTCCTCCCAGCTGTGCATGCACCCCACGGGGGTGCAAAGCTCGGGGACAAAGGATACTACGCCCGGCCCCCAACCTCTGATTCTAGGTGAAATGAACACAAATTAGAAAGAACCCAAGTGGAATCAGAAAGGGAGTCCTTACAGCCATGCCGCAGTGGGGGTCAGGGATCCCTTCTTCGCTCTGTGTCTACAAGTTTCCAGATTTTTCCTGCATGACTTGGTGGAGCCACTTCCTTCCCTTCTCCTGACTGCTTTCCAAAAGCAGAGACTGCCTGAGGATGACACTGCCTTTCTCCTCAGCTGCCCTACTTCAAACCAGCTCTCCACCCAACAATGAATACCAAGTGGATTCCTCTAAGCTGCAGGGCGCTGCTCCCTGGAAGCCACTGCCACATCGTGTTTGATGGAAGGTGCCAAAGGACAGCATTAATGTCACACCTGTGCTCGGAGCACAGGTTCCGGATGCGCAGGCTCAGCGGCCATGTCACAGCCGAGCATAGTCATGAAATGTCTCCCTTAAGATCTCCTCTTTGCCAGTTTGACCCAGAGAACGACAGAGCCCTGCCCTTCACATCATCACGTAACATGACAGAAGTGAGTGCAGAGGTTCCCTGGATATTATCTTCTCTGTACACTCGTGAAGGCAGGAGCCTCTTTTCCTTCTAATTCTCCATCTTGTTCACCACTTGAGAAAATCCAGGTCCAGCAAATGCAATGGACCCACCCAGGGTCACCTGGCTAGGGAATTGCAGGTGCTGGGCTAAACCAAGGTGCAGAAACGCAGCCCAGCTTCCTTTCCACTAAATCACTCTGCCTTCAAGCTCCTGCTGTCTTCACTAGGATGCGCCAGCTTTGGTTAAAGATGAGGCTTTCAGTTTTCCTTCAGACTTTCTAAGGAAAAGCAAGACAGAGGATGACAAAAGGCGCATCTTGTCTATGGGGAGCTGCATGGAGGCAGGGCTCGCATTTGTGTCGTCGGTCATCGTATTTGTAGCAGGGAGCACAGCAACTGGTATGGGGAAGGTACTCAGTACCTATTTGCTGAAAGAGGAGTAAGTCTCTGACTTGGAGTGGTGGCGAATGAGGGGCACTGATAGAGAAACACCTTCTGGGAGAGACTATTCACAGCGACGTAAAGAAATAGGTTCGAAAAGGTATGGCATAGGGTAGGTACTCAAAATATTTGGTGAAAACAATGAATCCAGCCAAGTCTCATAAAGGAGAGTGTGGAAAAATATTATAGAGAGTGGCAATCTCCTTGGAAGACTTCAAACTACAGACCTCAATCGGGGGATGATTTGGGCCTCTTCAAACAATGTATCCATTCATTTGTCCATCCATTCATTCATTCATGAATTCAAAAACACTGAGCACAGGCTATGTACCTGGCATTGGTTCAACTGCTACGGATTCAGAAGTTAATCTCCAGTAACTCCTCAAGGATGAAAATAGTAAAGCTAGCAACGAGCATTTAATGTACTAAGGGCTATGGCAGAAGCACTTCACTAAGCTGCCATAAAATACCAGACTTGATGGGCATTTAGTTTAAGGTGGACTGGATGGGGGGAGGGGGCAGGAACAATCAGGCTGCAGTGGGTAGTTGGGTGGAGAAGATGAATGAAGTTATGGGGACAGAGAGAACAGCACACACAGACATAGGTAGGCATTAGAGCTCTTTCATATTGGGGAAATGGAAGGTATTGGGTACAGCTGGAAAGTCAGAGGGTGAGAGGTAAGGCTGGCTGTATGATAAGGACCATACGTTGAAGGTCTTGTCTACCTTCCTTAAGTTGGGGCTTCACAAACTTTAATGCATGTGAATCACCCAGGGACCTGGTTAAAATGCAGATTCAGTAAATCTGGGGAGCAGATAGAGAACCTGCATCTCTAACAAGCTGCCCAATGATGCCTGATGCAGCTGGTCCCTGGACTACCCTTTAGGAAGCAAGGCTGTAAGCAATGGGATGCAATGGAAATATTTCACTGAAGAGAGTGACATTAAGAGAATTGCATTTTCCCAAGAACCCTGTGGCAGGGTATGGAGGACGGAATGGAGGGAGACTCTGCTGGGGTAAAATACAGAAGTGGCAAGAAATTTTGAGCATCTGAACTAAATAAAGTTAGGAAAGAACAGTCAATGTTCAAATAAACAGGTGCAGACTGGTATTCTATGAAGTCGCTGTAAAATATTTCTCCCAGAGGAAAGGTTGCTTGTGAGGATGAAGATGAAACAATGAAAGCATAAGAGGCAAAAAAAAAAGTCAAAGAGGCACATAGTGTTATTTGAATAAGTCTAGACCCCCCTCTGGGTCTCAGTGGACACGTCATCTCCAGCCCCAGTAATGACTGAAAAAGCAAGCAGCTAAGGGGCGCAGCATCCCTGCAGACAGTTATCACAACAGAGCAAATAAAATCAGCCTTCTCAGCCATCACTTGAGAGACACTTGCATCTAGTTTCAGGAAGCTGCAGGAAGAACAATTGTTTCATAGCAAATTCTTGAAAATAACATGGCAGTCCACCTGATCTTGAACACAGTGCTTGTTCATTTCTTATAACTCACAGGTACCCGAAATTAGAAACACCTATTTATATTGCTGTCAGAAAATACCCTATCCGCTCTAAGCCATCTTTAACTGAAAGGAAAAACTCAGAAAGGAGTAAAAAAAAAAAAAAAAAAATCAAGGGAAGGGTCTACATTGTTGAAAAGGAAAGGCAGGGGGTAAACATTTTTCTCATATACTGAAGCCCCCAAATGCAGCTTCTAATGGGATTTCCCTCCAAAGAAAAGAAGAATCAGCTTCGCGTTCTAGGTACTATTCTGGGTGGCATTCTGTACCCAAAGATGTCCAAAAGCAAAACCCCCAAGAGTCATCTCCCCTCTCACTTTTTCCCCACATCCTGTAAATGAGTAAACCTCAACCAGACACAGAGGTTGAAAACACGCAGCCAACTGGAAGAGCCATATGGACACACACTTCAGAACAGCTTGGTTCACAGTACAAGGCAAAAGAAAAGAGTGCAGGAACCTACCTTTCTCGTCTGTGCTTTGCAGCCTCCTGAAGTTTAACCCTGTGCTGGAGAGCTTCCCAAGAACCTCTTTGGGGAGGTGAAACTGAAGGGCCTCCCCTTCAATCACAGCTGCGGAGAGGGTGGGGTTGCCGAAGACCAGACTTCAGCTCGTTGGCTCACGGGGACCTCAGGGAGCAGAGGTGAACTGCCTTCTAGTCTCTGCTGCAGGAAGAAACTGGGTGACTCGGTGTGGCTGGAGGTGGGGGTTGGAGGCTGGGGGAAGGGAAGTAATCTGGGAACCGTATTAAATAAGAGATCCTCTCCACATGATTTCCTGTGGTAGGTGCCTGTTGCCTCTCTCCAGGCTCCCCAGAGGAAGTAAGACATTTAAATGTGTCCTTTGGCCACTGGCAAGAAGAGAATAAACATGCTAAGAATCGTGGAAATGAGAATTAGCAGGGCAGCAGGCAGGGGGCTGATGGGCCAGCTAGCTTTACCTTGTACTAAGTGCTTTCTTCCTGAAGTTTCTCCAAGTGTTCAACTCTGCAAAAGTCAAGCATGTCCTCATCCTCTTCCACCGAGCTGAAGAATTTTCTGGCCACACTCCAGATGCAGTGCTGCAGAGCTGTTGGTCAGAGGCAGGCCAGAACCGGCCTGAGAAGGGTCTGCTTGCCAGCGGAGGCAAAGACTCTCTCAGCTCTGTCTCTGGAAACGCTGATGACAGTCTGTGTCTAATTCTGGAACACTTCCTCAAGTCCTCAGGCCATTTTACCCTAGGGTTTAAAGAATTCTCTGCAGGCAAACGTCTGTAGATTGCTAGAAGCAGGACTCCCCGCTACATAATTGATGGGGCTCAGTGCAGAATGAAAATGTGAGGTCACTCCTCCAGAAATTAAGGATTTCTAGATGACAGCAGATCCTTAAACCCAGTGCGGGCCCTTCTGAGCACAGGGCTGTTTGCAGCTTATGTAGGTGGTACATCTGTGAAGCCCATCCTGCCAACGTGTCACCGAACGCAAGTTGTGTGCCCGATGCACAGTGAGGCCAAACAAACCGAAACATCGGAGTTTGGAGAAGAGAAAGGTTTTTTTGCAGGGCCATGCGAGAAGAACGAGGGGCTTATGTTCCCAAAACCCCACATTGCCGAAGGGTTTCAGCAAAGCATTTTTAAAGGCCAGATGAGGCCGGGTGGTGGGGGGGTCCCAGGGTATACGATTAGCTTGTGCACTATTCTCTGATGGGCTGGTGGCACGGAGTGAACATTATCAATCCTTAGGTGCCAGAAGGTCCTGGGGGCTACATGCTCATGACCATCAAGTAGTTAATTTCTTCCATCTGGTGGTTATTTTTAGCATCTGAAAAACTCAGGAAATATGCATGAAATACCATTATCTGGGTACTTCGGAGAGGAGCTAAAGCAGAGGACATGGGGGAGGGGTCCGCCCTGGGATGGCCCCATAGGGCTCTGCTGGGTTCCAGTAGGAAGAAGGCTGGAACTGTGGCCGTGTTGGTTTTAACAAGCTGTGTTATCAAGAGGCCTGGACTATTGCCACCTTGTTCTGAGGGGTGACAGTCAGCCTTTGAAGAGCAATGTACTCAGAAGCTGGTACAAAGCGGGGGGAAAGCTGGGTTGTGGTTGTAAGCGGGCACAGGCCACAAACACATCCCTGGGTTAAAATCCCACCAGTGGTCTCCTCAGTGCTTTTGGGTCCAACCCTCACACCCATCCATTCTCTTCCCCGAAGTCAGAGCAACCTCTCAATTGCTGTCTTCATGAAATTATCACATGCTTAAACTCTTCCAGTAGCCTAAGGGTAAAGGCCAAATGCTTGCGCATGGCTCACAGCCCCTTCAGGACCAGAACTGGCTGTCCTCTTGCACCTGACCTCAAAGCCCACCTCCCCCTCTCTCTCTTCACCCCCCTTTTCCTTCTCTCCATCTCCACCTCTATCCTCTCCTGGAAATTGCTCTCTGAAGGATGCCCTCTACGAACCCCTAATCCTTTGAATCTCACGTCTTCTAGAAAGTCCTTTTCTGATTCCTGGGCCCCTTCTGTGTTCTTCCGTAGCCAACCATGCTTATCTCTCCCGGAACACGCATAACTGGAAGTGGTGAAGGTCTGTTACTTGTCCATGCCTCCTGCTGGGCTATAAATTCCATAAAGTCATGGACGGCGTCTAGTTCAGCATTACACCCCTAGACCTAGGACCCACGAGGGCGTTATTTGTGTAAGGTGAGCATTAGCAGGAAAGGCACTGTTAATTACAGCTCTCCACTTTTTGAAAAAGGGAAAACATATGACTCAGAGGAAAACATAAGATTGTTGTTATGGTTTTACAGTTTAAACTCTGGCAGAAAAAGTGGAGCGATTTCACAGGCAATACGGCAGGGCTATTATTAAAGCACCACAGTTTGTCATGTGCTGTCCGTCCCTGTTCTTACAGGGACTGTATTATGAGTAGAAAATGACCTCTATTCAGAAACTGAAGCTCTGGACATGCCAAGAGGATGGAGGACTGAAGTTAAAAGGAAGGGTGAAGGAAAATGGGAAATGGTTGGAGGTGAGAAGGGGGTGGGGGGATGTCAAATGGGAGAGAGGAAAGGAAAGAGGAGGGGGGAATGTAGGAGGAGGGAAGGGAAGACAGGTAAATATGGAGAGGTGAGAAGAAACACAGGGTCCAGCAAAGGCTGGGAAACTGTGGGGTAGAGGGATGGAGGGGGGTGACTCTCCAGGTCACCGTTTCATCTAGAAGCATCTAGAAACTCCTTGTTCCCTCCATGACTCCCCAGTGCCTTTCCTGTGCTCCCTGATAAATCAAGCTGGTGTGTTCTAAAACCCAAAATGCAGAAGCGGGTCGAGGGTTGTGCCACAGAGCTGCTGTGAGGACACAGAAATTAGCTTCTGTGTTTTGCTTGGATTTGGAAACATTTTGTAAGTCACCAAATTAGTTTTCTTTTCACGGTTGTAAATACTTTGTGACAATGTTCCTGCTAGAATTTCCGAGCCTGTATTCGTGTATTCTGGTCATTTGTCATAGTTCCTATGAACCAAAGGGTCACTTCATGTAGGTATAAGAGCTGTGTTTAGCTGAGAGGCCTCAGCTGAGGCTGTCGGATTGGAGCACAAGCTGTAGTAGTGGAGATGCATAATCTAACATCTATAAAGATAAGGTAAAAGTCCGTTATTCTGAATATCTAGTTTTGTGCAGTTAATTGTAATTTAGTATATGCAGAGATCTATAGTAAAGCAAAGATATTCCTTAAACCAACGGTTTAAATGTTCTTCACAGAGTCTCAATTTTGTTCCTACTTAATAGGCATTACTTCCACTGAAGATGGAATAGTCGAGAAACATAGTGAAAGACGTTAAAGTGCAAAAAGATGACTGGGGGCCCTGTCAACAGGACGTCGAGTATCGTCTGCAGACCCTCTGTGAGGCACTGAGTCTATAGAGGTCGATACCTTTGATTCTTTTGGCTATTTTATAATTCTGAAAGATGTAGAAACTGATAGAAATGCAGATGATTCTTGTCCATAGAAACACAAATTACCTTTCTCCAGTAGAGATACCGTTGATTTTTACACTGTAGAAATGACTACCCCAAACATGGCATCTTAATGCTCTAGAGGCTATGAGTCAGTTTTGCATCTATGAGCCAATTCGGTTTAGCATTCCTGGTTTGCCTGCACCAATGTCTGCTCTTAAGATTTGTCTTTGAATGAGCTTTAACGTCTTACCATCCCTTCATTAATAGATGAGTTAAATAAAAACTTTGTCACATGCTCATTTTATATTTGTATGAGAGTGACATTTCACCTTTGGATAACAATCTTTTAACAGAAGTCAGGTGATACTCAGTGAATACAGTAAGTCATGTTAGGAGTTTGCTGTAGCGGAACTCTTTTCCCTCAGGGAAAGAATGAAGCATGTTGATTACCAAAGTAAATAGAGAAACTGCCTCAACTGAACAATGAAGAGTGCACAGAGTTTCAGGAAGGGCAGAAGTATAGGCAAAGCCCCAAGTGGGATGTTACAAAATGTAACTGGATGTGGATTTACCAGGTAAGGAAGAAGTGCTAAAGCTGGACTCATTGAAACTAGTAGCTTGGAGGAAAGAGGACCTTGATAAACAAAGGGCACACATTTCGGGTGTTTGATAATTCTTTTTTTTTTTTTTTTTTTTTTGCGGTACGCGGGCTTCTCACTGTTGTGGCCTCTCCCGTTGCAGAGCACAGGCTCCGGATGCACAGGCTCAGCGGCCATGGCTCACGGGTCCAGCCGCTCTGCAGCATGTGGGATCTTCCCGGACCGGGGCACGAACCCGTGTCCCCTGCATCGGCAGGCGGACTCCCAACCACTGCGCCACCAGGGAAGCCCTGATAATTCTTTAAAATGTTATTTTCAGAATCTGTAACCACATAAGACAGCCATCCAGAAATATCTTACTATCAATATATTTGTGTGGTTTGGTTTTTTTTAATGTTGGTATTTGTTGTGTTTTTAATTGATGTGACTTGCAAAATACTTTTTTTTAATATCAAAGATGTAAACGATTTATCTCTAAGGAATGTTCTGGTCAATCCGTCCAATCTGCTCCTTAATGCTCTTGGATCCAGATAAGCAGGTCAACATAAAGGCTTTTATGTTTTGTTTTGTTTTTTACTTTTGAAATTAATTTGTCATTGGTTCCATTATTTTGAGGGAAAAAAAAAAAAAAAAAAAAACATACCTAAGAGCTCAGTGTGGTAGTTTGGATGTTTTCCTGAGAAGAGTGGTTCCTCATTTGGGAGGCATGGTGAGAAGTATGAACAGTCATGGTAACAGAACAAGTGTGTCTGCTGGATGCTCAAAGATCACTTCCTGCAAACATGGGGCTCTTTCTGCACGAGCTCCAAGTGTCTCCTGAAAAGAGAGTCAGTACCGCCAGCTTTGGCTGCACCTACATTGGAGGTGAAATTAGTCATGTTCCATTAGCCTTTTTTTCTCTTTGCCAAATATTAATATCACATTTGTCATTGAAGACGGAGCACTGAGAGGCGACTCCTAAGGAGTTCTATGACTTTCATTGTGTCACTGAGAGATGAAGAGGAAACGTGTGTTCCATAGTATCAACCCTGTCAAGGAGACAACATAACGCGAGAAACATCAGTAGGACTGTTCTTGGAAAATAAATGTTCGCCTTAGGTAAAACCACTGTCATATGCTTCCCTGGAAAATTAAGGTGTTAGGAAAAATTAAGGCAGAAAGAAAGAAGGAGAGAGAGAGAGAAAAGGAGGGAGGGAGGGAGGAAGGGAGGGAGAGCTAAGTCCAAATATTTTGGGGAACTAGGAATTCTCATACACTGCTGTTTAGGGGGGGCAATTAGGAACTCACACCGCTGAATGCGTGTTACTTAAATCACTTGCGAGAGCAATT